GCGACTCGACAGCACATAACAACAACAACAACAATTCCGACAGCAATTTTACTACTTTTCTGGGCCCAAGATCTGTTGCAATGACCACATAGATCTCAAAGAACTACAGTCATGGTAATGAGGAATAATAGGAAAGTTAGCAGACTGCAGATTGGCAGTAGGCTACAATTCATTAGTTCAGTCAGCCTCTCAAATGTACAATTCCTCAGTTCAGACAGCTTCTCTAGGGTGTTCACAGATCCCTTGACCTTCAGCCTCATGGGTTAGGCCAGTGATATAAAGTTCCCTAACTCCTGCCAGTTATGGCATCTTCCATCCCCCCTCCAGAAAGCTTGAGTAAAGGCCTCTAGCTCTCACTCTGTAGGGCATCAGTGCCAAGACATCTCTGTCTCACATTGGCTTCTGGATCTCTGCTGAGGCTGCTACTACTCCCATGTAGATCTTTGTTTGACTGGCACAGGAATCTTTAACCCTAAAGGATGTGTATTTCACTCCATGCTTCCTCAGCTTTGTTGATAGCAAGATTTTCACATCTACTTCAATTTAAACCTAATGGGATAGCAAAACTAGCCAATTCCTTTATTGATAGACTAACACACTTTACATGTTCCCACACAGTCATGTAGCAAAATCAAAGTCAATGGCCAGGAAAGTCATTTTTAACAATAAATCCTTGACATCACAGGCCTGACTGATACCCTCTTTCCTATAGATTGCTAAACCTTCGAGATTTTTTCATTTGTCACTGAAGTCATCTTGTCCTGAGTTATCATGGAATGTTGGCTTAAGGGGTCCTATAGGCATAACTTAATGGTTATTGTCACAGACTATTACATACATAAGAGGAGCTCTGGTGGCCTGATGGGTAAAAAGAGTTGTGCTGCCAACCCAAAGGCAAGTAGTTTGAATCCATCAGCTGTTCCAAGCGAAAAAGTTGAGCTCTCTCCTCTCATGTGATTTACAGGCTCAGAAAGACTAACTGATTTTATATTTGTTTGAGTACAGAAAAGCTAGGAACAACACTAGAAGTCCTAATCCACAACATAAACAGTCTTCCCAGTATCCTGGAAAACCTACAACCAGGAGAAGACAACATAGAT